GGGACCGACCCCCCCGCATCCGCCCTGCCCTCCCGGGCCGGCCCTGCCCTGCCCCCGGGGCGGTCCTGGCTCCTGGGAAGGTCAGCTGCCCTCAGGCCCGCCAAGCCCTGGGCCTTTGGAAATGCACTGATTTCACACATTCCCGAGGCAATTTTTAAGGCTCGCTGGAGCCAGAAGCTCATTTCCCGGGGAACCTTCCCAGTGAACGTCAGTTGCAGCATTCCGGGGCCTGGAAGAGCCAGGAGGCGACGCAGCGGGAGGCAGAGCCTCACCGTCCAGCCCCGCCGCCCCCCGTCTGGTGCACGGGCGGACCCCAGGCCTGAAAGCCTCTTTGCCCGCCCCCAGGTGGGTGACTGTGAGCAGGTGCGGGGATCTGCACGGAAGCAGCGGTCCAGGGCCAGGATGCTCACGGAGGCCGCCCTTCTGTGCCCTGGAGCCTTTATTTAGTTTATAATTAAAAAGGAAACAAAGTATTGTCTAATTACTACTAAAAGGAGAACCGTCAGACAAAGCATCTTTAACAACAATACAGAGAAACCAAAAAAGGACGTTTGCCTGTTCCCTGGTCAACACGGGGGATGTGTCAGCGATGCAGCAGCCCTGCCCCCACCTCTCCGCATCTTCAAGTGACGTGAAGGCGGGACTGCCTGATCCTCACTTGTCTCATACAATAAATACAAAATAGCTAAATGTCGCAAAGCCGACTCCAACATTCAGCAAATAAATCACAGTAAGGCAACGGTTTAGCCACGTTTATTATTAGCGTATGCTCCTTTCATGGAAATGGACTGAGCTACTTTTAAATGCTGCTTTAGACCTATCTTACAACCCACTGCAAAGCTACTAGAGCATGAATCAGTTAGAAAAATATGTCCTCCCCCCCGGCTGGTTTTGCTCAGTGGTTAGAGCTCGGCCCTCAGGCCAAGGGTTGCAGGTTTCACTCCCAAACTCCCTGTACATGAGGAAGGCAACCAATGGATGTGTCTCTCTCATGTCAGTGTTTCTCTCCCCCTCCTCCCTCCCTCCCTTCCACTCTCTAAAAATCAATGGAAAAAATATCCTCATGTGAGGATTTAAAAAAAAACAAAGATCTTTAACATCAGAAAAAATGTTTTAGTCTCTATTCCAATGGTTCTTTGAGTATTTTATTTTAAGGTCTTCTACTCAGTTATCCTAATGGGCACGGCCAACAGAGGCGACTACGAGGCAGACGGCATTCATTCTCGTGGGCCACGCAGGACCACCCTGATACTTGCTAAGTTTTCTGGTCAAGTCGGCAGAAATAAGGAGGAAATACATGCAGTACCAGGTATGAATTAAGCAAGGGATTTGGACTCAGTTTGGGGATCCTATTTTGGCTTCGGAGACTTCCAAAGTCCTATGCAACTCATACGAATCCCTGAGCTTCCATCTAACCATCTAGAAAACGTGACTAGTAATATCTGGATCACAGGTGAGTTTACACAAGAGACCTACACGACTACCCCGTGTCACGGTGTCTGGCACGGGCGCCTGCTCAGGGAGCCAAATGATAATTTGGGTCCATCTTTCTTCTCTCCTTTTCAGAAGAAAGAAATCACATTGAATCAGTGTTTCTCATAGATGGTCCACAAGTTTGTTTTCGAAAATTTAAGCTCTAGAAGCTGCTATTGTGTCATTTTTTTTACCAAGAAATTGTATTGTTTTTGGCCCTGTGGGGACCATCATGTGGCACCATCATAGCTAGAAGTACAGAGTGTGACTCCCACATTCCCACATGGCCACAGGACCCCTAAGCTCGGGGCTGCTGGGAAGGACAGTGGGTGGAACTACAGGGCAATGCCGCCAGGTGGGCTGGCGCACAAGGACTCTGAGTCAAGACTCAGATCCCTCCAGTGCATCCTGTGCTCGTCACAGCTACGTCTCCATCCTCTGTGAGCCCGGATGTGGGAAGGTTGGGAATTTCCATTCTGATTCCCTTCCTGACCCATGAGACCCTGAGAAAACTTAGGTTCAATTTTCAAGCATTTAGGGGCTTTCTGGTTTTCTTTTTATTGTGACTATGGCTTGATTCTAGACAATCTGGTGAGCCTGATCCAGTCCCTCAAAAGTCTTTGTTATAGAAATAGATTTGTGTGTGTATTAGAGTCAGGAATATAAGTTTGATGTGTGTATTAGATTTGAAATAAGTAACTTCATCTTGTGTGACCGAGTGTAATTGTGAGGCCTGCGTGCCACGATAAGATTAACACTTTGTAGCCCTGGCTTCCAAGCAGGCCCGCACTCTGTAGGACCCTGATAAGACACACTGAAGACGCACCACACCTTCAACCCAGCTGTTAAAAGCAGGGGCTTTTCAGCCACATCTTTGGATGCTTGTCTGCCCTCCACAGACTTCATCCCCAGCTCCGGGAAAGCTGACCCTGCCTTGCTCTGCCCTGCACCTCTCTAGGAGAACTTCCAGAGGGCTGCAGTGACCGACGCCGTTGGGCCGCACCCCCAGACCTTGTGTGTGTCTTTCAGCGGATCCTCCGGGTGGCCTGCTGGTGCCAAGAACCATTGGGAACTGGTAAATAAACCCTGTGTGATTTGCTTCATGTTTGTCTCTGTCTCCCTTCTTGAAACTTGAATTATTGGCTCGGTCTTATTGAATTAAAGTGTCTCTCGACCCTCACGGTGGTATAGCCACGTATTGGGAGTTAGACCACCTGCGTTTATGTCTCCAGAGAAACTGGGACAGTCTTCCCTGAAAAAGTTCTGCCTGTGGAAGGCAGATCACCTGGAGCCTAAGAACTCTGCCTCCGCTCCTCACCTGCCCCCCTCCTCTCGGCCTCCCCTCCTCCTGCTCATGGCCTCCCCTCCTAACAGCCCCCTCATGGTCTGCCTCCCGAATTTCAGACCTCCTAGTTAGCCCCCACACCCCATTAACCAATTCATTGCAATAAATCTGTGTCTCCTAGTGGTTGCGTTTCTCTGAGCCCCTGGCTGGTAGCCACACCCACAGACCCTGTCACTAGAATTGAGGTAACACCCGTGGAGAGAGCCCGGCTCACAGATGTGCAGACTCACTGGACCATATTGTCCACATTGAGCACAGCAGACTTTGGGGCCTGACCTCGGGTTCAGGTCCCTGCTGAGCGATCAGCAGAGCGACCTTGGACAGGTTTTGACCTTGGACAGGTCACATCTTCACTAGGCCTTGAGTTCTCATGTGTAAACAGGATCTATGACTGTCCCAGCACACGTGTTGGGGTGTGGGGGTGCGGTGAGCATGTGCTGAGGACAAGCACCTGCCTGGCACTTCACCCAAGGCAGCGGTTTAAGTGTCTGCTCACAGTTATGCCGGTGGTCAAATGACTAGTCAACAGGGGACCTCACCCCAGTGCCACCTGGCCAAGGTCCCAAGTGAACCTGGGGATGGCAGACATTACTCCGGGAGTCACTGGGACAGTGCTGGTGA